AACCCTGTGACGCCGCTTGCAGGTGTTGCGCGAATGGAGGCTCCTCCCAAAATTCGGGAGACATGCTGCCCTTTCCTATGTCTTCGAGTGAAAGATAGACTCCAGCCTCCTGGAGTCTGTCGAACTGCTGCCGCCATGCATGGAACGTGCTTAAAGACGCTCGAATAAGCGACGCCAAGGAAACAGCAAGGGCACTCCTGATGCGGGGGCCCCCCCATGACTCGAGATTAAAGTAGTCGCGCCTCGGGGGGGCGCAGTGGGGAAGCTTAAAGAGGGCAGCCAGCAGCGCGTGCTCTTCAGCAATCACTGAGTGGGGGAGCGGAGCGAACTGAGCGACGCACCCCAAACAGCTGAGAGCACGGGAAGAGTATTGAGAAGCAGTAATGGCCGATGGAGCGCCGTTGTAAGCATGGCCGAATTACGTGGTGCCCATTTCGCCACAGGGGCGTCCCATGGTGACGGGGCCGCCGATGGGCCCATGAAAATCCCGAGGTACAGAAGCCGAGGGACCACCTGGAACTCCGCCCAGCCGGGCAAACGAACGTGGAGCCAGTCGCGGTTCCGTCTGGCCAAGGGCCCTGAGAAAAGGGCCAGCTAGCGGAACTACCTTACATTTCTTGTGCTTAAGCTCTAGATTAGCCACCCGCCTTGACGCCCGAAAGACAGTGTATAGTTGCCTCAAAACCTTAATTTGATGTATGACACTTCCTACATCGTCGGCGCATAGTCTACTCATTCCTAGTCCTCGTTTCTCGATCAGCGAATCGAAGTGCTCGACGAACGGGTGGCTCGCTATTGCATAGAGAAATTCGCTGGCTGGGCACCCTTGAACAATGCCCGACAGCATTGCGCACATGTATCGGCATTCGCCCCCGATCCTCCCGTAGCAGAGCACGAACTGGTAGATCATTTCCAAGTAGAGACGGAGCGGGGCGGGGATGTTGAGCGATTTGAGGGCGAGGAAGATCCAGAACTGGGAGATCGATGGGAACGCCTGCCCGTAGTCGAATGATACCAGGGCGGGTAACCTGTTGTTCCCTCCTGGCAGCATCGAAGTGATCCGAGCTTGCGCGTCCAATTCGATGATGTTCATCCCGAAATTCCTCGTGGGAACGAAGCCCCGCTGGGCCTCAGCGATGAAGTCGGGAAGGGACCGACTCAGGGGTTTCACACAAACCGCCGCCAGGATCTTACAGTCCGTGTTTTTTTCTAACCGAGAGGCCGGGTGGCCGAAGCATCTCGGATCACTAAATCCTCGCCGCCAGGCTCGTCGCCCTTGGCCAGGAACGCTCCCAGCATCGTATTGAAGCGAAAGATAAGAGGTTTGCCATCCAAAGCCCAGGAGAGCGCATCACATGAAACTTGGGTCCCTTTGGGGTGTGAACGCCAAGCGACGTGCGGAAGTTGATCGGGTCCTGGAGCGCTCGGGGTAACATTTTCCAGGAAGCGGGTTATGTCACGTTCAGTAGGAGGTGGCAAACCAGACAGGTCAACATCTGGCTTAAACCGATTGATGCACTGGAAGGCGGCGGCTCTGCCTACATCCTTCTCGGAGAAAACCTGGCCCCAGTAATCGGAGAGGCTAGAGAGCATTCCAGCAGGGTCAGCTCGAACTCTATTGTGGGGGCCCGAATGTCCTTGGTCATGATGAGAGCAGGGGTCTCGGATCCCTTGCAGGGGCAGCGTTCGACCAAATGGGGCCCAAAGACGAGAGCGGGTAATGGGGCTGCGGAGGCGCTTCTTGAGCTTGGTCCTAACGGTCCATGGGTTGTCCTGCTGGAGTCTCTGCCTGGTCTCCGACTGGGCTCTAGAGAACATAACAGCGTGGATCTCCGCGGCCAACGCCGCGAAGTTGGCAGGGCCATTGATCGAGACCTGCGCGGTCAGCGGATCGACGACCAGAAACAGCGCGCCTAACGGGTGAGACGCCATAATCTTCTGGGCCAGCAGCACGTTCTGCCCCCACACAGCTCGGGTGATGGTGCGAACGGCGATGTATCTCGAGAGGGGATCGTGATGTCGAAATCGGAGGAGTCGATCGCGAGCGCGCCGAGCAGCTGCGATCATGATTTCCTTGTGGAAGGCAAGGCGGAGGGGAGGGGACAACTCGGAGTCGTCGACCTGTTCGAGAACGTTATGTATGAATTTCTGGTACTCGTATCTCCTAAAGACGCCCTGGTGGATGGGTTGTTCTCCTGGCGGCTTCGACGAACGAGCGGCAAAGGTAGCGGAGACGGCAGCATGATCTGAGATGCGGGCGCGGCTGAGCACCTCAGGGTAGCCGTGCGCCCTGCCGCCAGTGCACCATTGAGTGAGGCTCCACCCTGGCGCTGGCACGTAAATCCTATCCAATTTCCGCAGGGTCCCCTGTGCGACGCAGTGATGGGTAGGTTCCTGAAGCTGGATCTCAGCCATCTGCCCCAGGATGCGATTCCAAGCCAGTCCGTCCGAACCCAGACGTCCGCCCCCTGCCCCTCGCTGGGAAGGGCCCATAGAAGGCTCCGCAGGAACCGAGTAACCAGAGGGATCCAATTTCTCAAAGCAATCGAGCGCCACAGAGGAGTCCTCAGAGAAGTTGAAGTCCCCGCCAACGATGGTGAAGGCCTTGAGGGGGTCCGCGGAGGCCAGGGAGAGGTCGGAGGCGATAGCATCTAGGATCTCGGCGCGCTGCTGAGACGACAGGCCGCGGTTGCGAATGTTGAAGTGCGAGACGAGGACCCCGCTAGGAAACAAAACTCGAACATTCAAAGCACGCCCCTGGACTAAACTACGTTCCGAAATCGAAGGCCTGTCGTCTGCAGCATGCGTGATATCAAAAGCGGGAATGAATGCAATCACTCCTCCCGCGGCATGTGGCGAGGCTGGCAGAAACGAGTAGTAGGCCTGGGTAGGGAGGTGGATGTGGTAGAGCAGGTCCCTGAGCTCATCCAAGGTCCCATGAGTTTCCTGGATCCCGAGAATCATGCCTTTGCCCAGAAGTTTCTTCGTGTAATTGATCTTCCTGGCCCGAACTCGGTATTTGTGATGGAATAAGGCTTGCCCATTCCACGTCCCCACAGAGATCGGAGTAGGAGAGGAAGAACGTCCGCACCACGCGGCTAGAATCGGGTTAAACACGCCACTGAACGGGTTCTGCAGGCGGGGCGAGCAGCTTGAACTTGGCGCGGATCTGGTCGGCGTTGAAGCCGAACTGGGCCAGGTTGGTATGCACGAATTCGAGAGTCGGCTCGGCGCCCTGACCAGGCTGGGGAGTGGCACGAACCAGCGGCCTCCACTGCGTGGAGATCTCACCACGATCACGGTTGCCGTGGAACTGGTGGGTCGGGTAGAGCTCCGAGAGCGTCGCATTGAGCTTCTTCGTGAGGAGTTCCGTCTGCACCTGCTTCTGGGTCTTGTCCGTGGAGATGTACACTTCGGTTGTCGCACCGGGGGTGTCGGCCGTGGAGAACCGCTGCCATTGGGATGCTGAAATTTTGAAGCTTTCCGTGATTTGCCGTACGCGTCTGGCGGCCAGCTGTGCGTTGCCTTTGATCCTGAGAATGAATCGGCGGGCGGCGGGATCTCCTTCCAGGAGTACCTCTGCTGGGTTGATATTGTTTTTCTCGAGGATGGGCTGCACCACGTCTTTGTCGATGTTGGCCTTCGGTAGCATTGACTTGGCTCGTAGAACAAGCACCGTTGGATCTGGGTCTCGGTCAAAGCTGGAGTCTTCCACGAGCACAGGTGGTGAGTCAGATTGCATGATGCCCAGGATCTGTTCGAGCCGTTCGATCTTTTCGGACAGGCGCTGGACGTTGGAGTCGGTCTGCTGCTGGTGCCGCTCGACGTCGGCGAGCCGACGTTCGACTTGCACGCTGAGAGCAGTACATGATTTGTGAACCTGCTTTGCGATGTCCCCCATGGATGCTTGGAGTCTTTCGAGGGAGTCCATGATCGAGTCGCGGGTGTGGTCCACCTAATTTCGTATGTCGTCTCCATGAGGGGCCCGTTTGTCTTCATCATGGGGAGAGCGGCTTCGTTCATCAGAATAGGAGTATCACGCCGACGAACAGGACTGCCCGAGCCGCCAGGGCCATCCTCGGGACCACGCGTCGTTGCACCTCTGCGCTCCTGCGACGGGAAGGTGGGGGCGAATTCACATGCCGCCAGCGCCTCGAGGTCGGACCGATTGGGGCGCGCCATCGTCGCCTGTCTACGCTGGTAGACGGCACCCAAAAAATGACCGGTCCGAGAGGTCGCGAAATCGGTGGCCTCCTGAAGGCCGAAATGGTCCCGAGAGCGGCATACGGACGGGCCGCAAAGCTAATCGCTGATTCTCGGGCGTCTATAGCCCTTCACAACGTTTAGCCTTGAGCCAAAATGGCTACGGACCCTCCTCCCCCTCCTCCTCATCCTCCTCCTTCCAGTGCGCCGGATCTCTGGGCCCCGCTCTCCCAGAGGCCAGGCCAGTCCCGGTGCGGTGCGGGCGTCTTCCGCCCAAGACGACGACGACGACCACGACGACGACGACCACGACGCCGACGACGACGACGACGACGGCGCCGGCGGCGGCGGCGGCGACGACGACAACGACGACGGCGTCGCGCGCCCAAGACGACGACGACGACCACGACGGCGGCGATGACCACGACGACGACGACGACGACGACGGCGGCGACGGCGGCGACGGCGGCGACGCCCCAAAGGCGCCTCTGCGGACCGCTGCGTGGGGGGGGAGAGGGAGGAGGAAACGGAGGAGGAGGAGGAAACGGAGGAGGAAGAGGAGGAGGAGGAGGAGGAGGAAGAGGAGGAGAAGAAAGAGGAGAAGGAGAAGGAGAAGCTGGGAGGAGAAGGAGAAGGTGGGAGGGAGGGAGCCAGGCAGGAAGGAGGGAGGGAGGGAGAGAGGGAAGAGGAAAAAGGACCAGAAGCAGGGGGAGGAGGAGCCCCTCCCTCTCTGCCCAGGGTCCGGCCAGCCACGGCGCGCTGCGGGCGTCCCCCCCTCCAATTCGCCCCAGAGGCGCCTCTGCGGACCGCTGCGGGAGGGGGGGAGCCCCCCCCAGGCGGGCAGCCAGAAGGCGGGCCTCGGGCTGCACCGCACAGCACGAGCAGCGCCACCACCGTCGCCACCGGCACTCCCCTTCTTTTCATCCTCCCCCTCATCCTCCTCCCCCTCCTCCTCCTCCCCCTCCTCCTCTTCCTACCCCTGTTCCTGCTGCCTCTACAGTCGAAGAGCTGTCAGAAGGAACCCCGAATAAGGAGCGGCGGAGCACTTGTTCCTTGCATCGGTTAAACTTCGGCTTCCCAGAAAAGACCCAATGAAAATCTAAGACAAACGGCACAATGCTACAATGCTTGAGGAACGCTGAGCCCCTCCCCATCGAGAAGGGTTCCTTCTTCAGCGGCCCGACTGGATGTCGACCCCTATCCCAGGCTTGGGGGGCTTTCGACTGGACCAGGAATTTTGGGGCCCCACCCTGGGATATACGATAGGGGGGGGCATCCATCCTCGACAGGGGTGCCTCGAAAAGGCCCCATGGGGGTGTAACCCAATGTTTCCCTTCTTTTTCTGAGCGGCTCCATTTTTCCTAAAAATCTGGGCTTTGGGGGAGACAAATCGCCCGCGGGCATCATCCACGCGAGCGACGAACAGAAAGGGGTCGTACGCGAGATGGCACGGCGGCCCTGCTCCCTGGCTCACGTGGGCCGCCAGCGCGGCACGCTGCATTGGAGACGAGGACGCGCGCGCGCGCGACCTTACGCGGGCAACGGATGCGCGAATGACGGCACAATCGAGCCCGATATTCTGTGTTGCTCACATGATACGTGTGGTCGCCAACGTAGGGCAAGCATGGTCATGCACATCAACATCACAAGCAGCAGCGACTGTGGGAACAGCATCATCAGCAGAGTATCGTCATCACCATCATCACCAACAACACCAGCACCATCAGCTGCATCATCATCATCAGCAGCATCATCATCATCGTCATCACCACCACCATCATCAGCAGCATCATCATCGTCATCATCGTCGTCATCGTCATCAGCGTCATCAGCATCACCAGCATAATCAACACCACCATCATCATCGTCATCATCATCGTCGCCATGAAAATCATCATCGTCATCACCACTGCCACCATCATCATCAAAATTATCAGGAGCAGCATCATTGTTATTGATGATACGTTTTCAAGCCAATGCAAAAGGGGCCCCTAAGAGCCAAGCGGCGGCGAGTGGCGTACGAGCGTGTCATACACACACTATATGTCACACCCGTGAAACTTTGTCACGAGCTAGCCGGTTGGCAGCCAGTCTTAGGGGCTAGTAAAAGGGCGTCTCCAAACGAGACGCAGCGTAAGGCGACCAGGGTGGCAACAATAACATCACTTCCCCGTCGGGATAGTGTTCACTCTGTCTCTAGCCAGCTGTTCCTTCGCTTTCTTGATCGTGGACTCCGTGTCCGGAGTAATATCGTAAGTACCAGTGGTCAATATGTTAACAAGGAAATCATTTGGCATTGCTTTTGTGAGGCAATCTACGGCCATGACACTCGCATCGATCCAACGGATCTTATCGCAGAACAACTTCGGGTGCAAGATTTCTACCTCTTCATCACCTCGTGTCCAAATGTCCTGGCGGAGACTGCTCAGGTCAATATTCAAGCGCTTATCCTCCGCCTTCCCATAGTAGGCGCTGTTAGGTGCTCTTCCAAACTCTTACAATCTGTCATCAAAAGATGTCTCATCGTCATGGCTGGAATCTCTTCCCAGTCTAAAGGGAGTTTATTCGCTACCCCAAGCATACCTCGCGCATCAGCGATGGCAGCACGTATACGCACACCTGAGTCTACAACCCAGAGACAAGCCAACGTCTCTGCTTGTGAAGTAGATATGCACACACGCCTAATAACCTTGCTCGATAAACATATAGGGTGAACGTAATCACTGTTCCCCTCGACAAATCCCGGCCCTGCAAGTCCGTTGAACCTGGCCCTCTGGGATCTGAGCGGCCCCAAACTGCCTCTTACAACATCGTCTTCTCCAGCCCAGCTGGCATCCGTAACGGTAAGAGCGATCATGTCCTTGTCCCACAGCACGGCACCACCTTTAAACACAAGTCCGCTGTCCGACGTCTGCACTGCTTCTTCCAAGACGCGGTTGGCCTCCTTAAGGCGCAATACCTTCGCACGGGCCACTGCCGTTTGCAGTCGACTCACGCGGTAGAGGAGCTCGGGCTTGCATCGCCGACAAACCCAAGACAAGGCACCTACAACTGACCTAAGTTGGGATGTCTCTCCTTCGTTACAGCGCCTGGTGAGGGGGCTGTCCCTGGGATGGGATACAGATTCTATATGATCGATGTTGCCCTTGCCCATGACGTGGGCGGTATAATCTTGATCTTGAGCAATTTCTAACCCGCAGTAGCGGAAATATCCTGACTTGACCTCTCTGGTGTCGAACTCTGCCAGCACGGAGTCAATAATCCTCTGGCTCTCGTCGTCTGCGGCCCATAGTATGTCGTCCACATGTGTGCCGATCATACACGTAATCTCGTTCTTATCACTAGATAGACTGAAAAGGGCTGGCATGATACGGTTCTCTCTTAATCCGTGAGCTTTAAAACGATGTCGGATCTTCTTCCATAAACCTCTCCCAGCGTCACGCGTTCCATAATCAGGCATACGAGCTATAAGCGCCCCACCATCCGGTACTCCTTTGAGCCCGTCGGGAGGTGGTTTTAATAACATGAGACGGTCGAGTTCTTGACCCTGAAAATAAGCTGAAGTGATATCAGCGCATTTCAATGCCTTCTTCGCGCCTGCGGCCCACGATATTATCAGCCTTAAGCCTTCTAGCTCACACGTTGGTGAGTCCGTGCGGATGCCGAGAGATTCCTCGAGGTCTCCTCGCACCACAAGTCTGCTTCTGTATTGTGGCGCAACCGGTGGTCCACCCGGTCTGCGTAAATGTTCGTTTTTATCTACCTCAATCCATTGCGTGGGAACCATGCGATATCCCTCGTCGAGGAGCTTCTGCAGTTCTGAGGAATCAATGTTTACGGCAGAATTGAACCTTCGCCATTTTCCCCACTCGTCTTGTCTTGCGAGACGCAGTCCGCTCTTAACTTCCTCCGATTCCTTATGGAATGTAAGGTTCTTAGCGCTCTTCAGCTTCTTTCGAGATTGAGGCTTACTGATGGCTCGCTCATTGAAGAAACCAGCAAGTGACTCGTGTGATTTGACTGCCGCGGACGCAGTCCTCCTCTGGAGTAGATCTACGCCTGATCCTGTAGTCCCCATTCTCTGCCATGCCTCGAGCAGCGGATTCGCTGGCTCGGGTGCTGGTTCTGACACTGAGGCGGATCTCCTTTCTGAGGATGATCCTCCTGTGTCCAATCTCCTTCGCATCACTTCGCCGCGACCGCGTAGGTCGTGCGGCACATCATCTAGCAAAGATCTCTGCAACGGGGTGCGCGGCGGTCTAGGCTCAGGTTGTTCGGCAGGGGAATCTTCAGCTTCTCCCTCGCCTCCGTCACTCATGTTCCCACCTGGTACTACAGGTTGAGACTCTTCCATCGGCTCTGGCATCTCTAATTCCGGCTCCTCATGGATGACTGGGAGTACGTCCTCTTGAGGTGCTCCAGGCTGGCCTGCACCAGGTAACTCTCTTCGTTCGTCGACAAACGACTGCTGCTGACCTTCAGGAGGAGCGTATCGTTCCATACCTCCATCCTGGTGCCGGGAAAGATATTGATTTGCCAGAGCTTCAGCCGCTGTGCACGGTCTGAGCCTGCCAACCGCAACACACACCGGAACCCCCCCGGTGATGACCCATGCGTTCTTGCCGTCGAGCCCTACGATCCTCGATCCAGTGCTCCATTTTGCAGTAACTTCTCCGTCGGTGGGCCTTTTGCGAAACCACGCCACATTTCCGACCTGGTACTCGCCCGCCAGAGGGGCTGCTTTACGAAGCATAGCACGCGCGGTCCTGCTACCAACGTCGTGCTCGGCGAATGCTTTCCTGGCAGTGGCACGGATTGCAGATTGACGTGAGAACTCATCAGACCCATCTTCAGCCACGTTTGCCAATACACACAGGTCGTAAGCTTCTTCGTCGTCGAACTCACTCCCCGGCACACGGGGCAGCAGACCGAGTACCCACTGAGACGGCGAAAAACCGCCAACTCGGGACATCTCGTTCTTGGTGCTGTCGACCTCTACGGCTGTCGTCATAACTTCGTCGAGGCCAATAACGTTCTTGTCGTGAACCACTTTCTTAAACACGTTTTTCCATAGTCCGCCGTGTCTTTCGGTGCGTCCGATCTGCTCCGGGGATTCGACTCCTGCGTCGCGGAGATCGATCCATTGACTCTTAACCCACTGTAAGAAGACACCTCTGTTATGTAACCCTCGATCCAACACGATCCGTTTAGGCTTTCCAGCCCAAGCACGCCAGTGCTGCTGGAAAGCTGTGAGGCATGCCCGCGAAGACGGCATTCCACTACCTAGTCGAATGAATATGACCCGCTGGAACGTAGTTCCCTGGCAGACGATATTCAGGAAGCTGTACCTTTCGCCGTTGTTGTCCTTCACCTCCAAAACACCGATCCCGATCTCGTAATTGAAACAGAACTTCTGGGGCAGCGCTACCTTGTGCGTCTGCGGTATCGGTTTGTGATGCTCACAAGACTCACAACGGTAAAGTTTGACTGCCTCAATATATTCGGACGACATCCTGGAGAGGCTCATAGGTTGGATCAACACGCGATTCGGAACATGACCGAACTGCCTGTGGAGTCGTCGAATGGCGATCCTCGCTCGGAGCGGAATATTGAACCAAGACTTCCTTCGTTCTCCTTTTAATTTCGGCTCTCCTGGGAGCGGCAGCTTCTCAAATATTTCCTGCTCTTCATCCCTGAGGTCTTCCTGAGCGGTAACAGCCACATCTTCGTCGTCGTTAACTGCGTCAGGGGTCGATCCTGCCATCTCCGCTGCGGCTTCAGCTGGAATGGCGGTGGCGGCAAGGCGGCCCAGGCGAACCTGGTGTCCAAGATCGCGTAAGAAATCGAAAAACCGCGA